CCTGACAAATCCCGCAGATTTTCTGTTACTAGCATAGCAAATGCATTTTTTAATAGGCTGGTAGGCCCCTACCTTAAATATGTTAGTTAATAATCTTCCAAATAAGCTTGGGGTTTTTAATTTGAGACACATGGATTCCTGTTCAGGAGCAAAATGTAAACGTCACTGATCAATTCATTCACTTAACAAGTTTTTTGTTTTCAATATGCACAATTGAATCCAGATGTCTGACAGGAGTTTCAGTTCCTATAGCTAACTGAGCTGTCAGGAGGTTCAGGTTCACACCGAACGGTGACGCAGTTCACATCCTGAACAGACAGCTTTCTCAGCAAATTTCTCAATCATCAAAATGTCATTGGTCTCGATGTGCTGCACAGCAAGATGAAATTGAATTTCCTCTTGATCCAGACTGGAACCTGTGATGAGTGGTTAACTGGGTGTGTACCTGTCATAGGCATATATCATTATAGTCCCTACCACATTGCAAAAAGGACACGAAAATCCATATTATCTGTTATAATACTAATAATGTTTTGTCACCTATTTGTACTGGGAAAATGGGAGTCTTTTCATCTTTAACTGGATAACTGAGTGAGTCTGAGAGCCACAAAGCCAAAGGGTGTTTGAAGCCTATCATTTATGAAAATCAAATTAGGATCTTCTTTATATCCATGACATTTAACCTTGTTTCAAATGGAAATGAACTGTTAACACACTTACTACCACCTATACAACGGAACAACTATTGTATCTTCCTAAGGTTATTTTTTGATGAAACAGTTCTGAGCTCTTCCTATATTGAAATCTATCAAACCAAAAGGTTTCACTTTTAATAGTCTATTTTCTCCCCAGAAAAATGATTTTTTACAATTGCTTTTTGATAATGAAAAGGAAAGAGAACTAAGGTAACATAAAAGATTAGAAGTGTGCTGAAGCCTAGCCAATGTAAATGATGGTGTCTGGAAAAAAGGTTTTTTTTTCCCATTGAATTAATCTTTTATACGAGATTTCCATTTTTTATGTGGTGAATCTTTTTTTTTGTCACCTGTCTGGATTACATCAAGTAGTGATTAAAATCTCTAAGGCTAACTATGCTATACTAAAGAAGAAATCAAACTAATGAAGCACAGATTTCATAACTGTATCTCTATAGTTTATCTCTTGCATAGAGGGTTTTTTAATCAATTACCACTGTTTTTGTGAACAAATTTTCAGTGTCTAAAATAAAATGAGTACGGCAAAGAAATTATGCATTGTGATGTACGAGGCTCATCTTTTGTAATGCTGAAAATATGTGACAATCTGAATTAAATAACTTCTCCTCCCATAACATGCAGGCCACATATCGATCATCACCGAAATGCAGTTAATGTGTATGCTATTATTTATCAAGCTAATGGATATGATAAGCCAGATTTAAATCCTGGTCACATTCTGAACCAATAAAATAGAATAATTAGTTTAGTTGGTATAGGCTTAACTGGTTACCCTGCACATCTGTAAACTATTACAATGCACCTACATGAATGCAAATCACCAATAATACATAATATTAACACAAAAAGTTCTTCATGTTAACCATATATTGCTGATATCAGAAATTAGAAACAAAATATACTGAAAACAAAATGCAAATTCCAATGAAGAACAAGAGAGTTATTCTCATTGGTCAGACCTCAAGTTATTAACATGTTTCCTTGTTTGAAATAATATTTTATACTTTAAGAAGCTTTAGAGAACATACAAAGAGCAAAGTGAGAACGTTGTTTTAGTGAACTCTTTCTTGAAGGTTTGGAGCCAGTGTTTAACTTATTCTTGAGCATGCACACCAGGTAACACACATTTACAAATAGCAAATATACTGTACTGAATTCAAAGAGATATGGAAAACCCATGCAGGAGCCTATAGCAGAACACAAAACCAAGGATCACAGTTATACATCTCAGAATGGATACCTGTTGAAATCAATTCCCCCGTGAATTTCTCGATTAATTCTATTCCCAAGAATCTGATAAAAAGTCTGCACACAAACCTTCAGAGAATTCCTGCAGGGCCCGGAGCAAAACAGGAAGAAGCATTATTAGCATTCAGTTACCTTGGATGTGATTAGAACTGAAGAGCATAAGAAAGGTTACAAATAAGGGAAGGCCATTTGTCCTGTCTAGCCTGTATGTTAGTAGTAACTTAAGTTAAGTAGTTAGTAACTAATTTATCCAAGGATCTCATCCATCCTTTTCTTGGAAGAAGCTAGGATATTGGTTTGAGCAACATGACTAGGCAAATTGTTCCATATTCTTACAACCCTTTGGGTAAAGTGCCTTCTGTTTTTGGTTTTAAATGCACTTTCATGTTGTTTCCACTTGCGTCCTCTGGTTAATGGTTCAGTGTTCATTCTGGGTTGATTTTTTTTCTGGTTTTATTTTTTTTTTGCTGCATCTACAGTGTTGGCTAATTCTCCTAATTTGGTATGGTCAGCAAACATGACTAGTTTTCTAACTATACCACAATCTAGATTTTGATAAGAAAAGCATGCAACCTAGTACAGCTGCCTGTGGTTACTGCACCAATTACTGTGCATCACCCCAATCTGAGTATTCAATACTCAAAATGTGTATTTGAGCAACTGGCCACATTGGGCAAACTTCAAACAACAACATAAAGCAGCACACAATACATAAAATTATTCCAGAGGGATGAAACCTATTTGTCCATAAGCAACTAAGTATTCAGCTGTATATATAAAAATGCAAAGCTCAGCAGCAAGGGTCAACCCAATTAGTTTATCATGATGATAAATTCATTTGTTGTCGGTCCATGAAAATTCCAATTTCTCATGGAGAAAATGCCTCTCTCTAGTGGCAATCTGGCTTAATTAAGACAACAGCCAAACAAACTGAGGTAACAGTAAACTTTTTGCCTCCACAGTTAATAGTGCAGTAAACCTCCTCTCAAACATGGGGGATTGCAGTATGTTCTTCCAACATGGAGAAAGGTAATTAACGATAGGGGAATGTGGCCACACAAAGTCCCCCGTTATCACTATAAAAACCGACGCAATACGCAATATTTACGCAATATTTTACCAAGAGGCTTTTAACAATTCAAGAATAAAAACACATTCAAAAGCATGTATATATGATAACAATGTTGCATAATAACACTAAATCAAGCATACCCAGTTTGTTATTCACCTTACTAAATAGTGTAACGAGAAAACAAACTCAGTGCAGCCACGTGAATGTCAACGGGTGCAAAAGTTGTTTGCGAGCGCGGACTGGGCACTCATGGACGCCGAGCTGCTGACGCTAGCATGTACAGTGTTTTCTCTGAATTGTTCGCCTGGTAGACTCAAAAACCCCATTATCCTGACCGAGTGAAGTTGCCAATATCAAAATCCCAAGGTCACCAGTTCCCGCTGTTCTCGCTTTCAGTATCACCCCTGGTTGATGACGTGATAACTTCAGTAGACACCATGAGGGGATAACACACTACAAATTGTAACAAAGACACCGAAGCATGGTGCAGTACTTGGCCTGTCGAATCCCCGTGAATCGCAAGAGTAGCGAGAAAGTGGACTGGGAAGGCAGTAGACGCTGGCAGCAACATGAAACTGCCCGGGAACGCCGCGGGAAAGCCCAGATATGAGAAATATGCTAGACCTTGACCGCGGGCATGCAGACTGGCGGAATCCATTTCAGTGATCAACCTGCTTTATAGAGCTCGGGATATTTTTGGCCACATTTATTTCAGCGCGTTATAGCGAAACCATGCTGGAGCCGGACTTATACTCACGTCTCAATCTTTTACTAATAATGGCACAAAATATTATCAAGAGATCACAGTGTGAACCCGGTGTTTTTAAGTATCCTTCAGTACCTGTTCTGCCTTATCTATTCGAGGTTCTTCATTGTTATTATTTTGTCGGGAAAAACTAGAACCTTGTAGGTCTAGCTGCATGTTTAAAGAAATAACTACAAAATAAAAGAAAGCTGTGTGCCTTTCAAATTCCACATTACAGATAGTGAGCTGACCCTTGTTATACAGTATCTGACCTACTTTCTGTGTTTTTTCTTTATTCTGTTCTCTGCTTGCCCCATTAGCACTGACAGAATGCTCCCCGCTACCAAAGCTTTTAAAAGCTGGCTCCTTCCTACGAAAGACAAGGGTGAAATGCCCATTCTTGGCACTGCAGCCGAGATGAAAGCTTGCTCTGTGCTCCAGTTTGACAAGTCAGCAATCTAATGCCAGACTGAAACCGAGTATTTAATAAATGGATGGTACTGGAAGAGAGTGGAATGTTTTTCTTGTTCAAAATCCTGTTTGTTTGCCGTTGTGCTCTTGAGGGAGAGAGAGCACAGCAAGGGTGGGTAGGCATTATTTTAAAGCTTGCCACATGTTCTTGCTTGGAGGTCATGATGCCAAATTTAGCATTTCCGTGGAAACTGTGTTGCAGAATGAACTTAAAACTTCATAATCCCCTCTAATGGTAAAAAGTGAAGAGAAAAAAAAATCCCAGTTATGTTAGACTATACGTGCAGTTTGTCATTATTCCCTGCAAGAGTCCTGACCCTTACACCAGCATCTGTTTTCTGAAGTTCCCTTTCCCATAACATTCAGAATCCACAATTGCTGAAATGCAATCTTCTGTAATGGACTTTCTAAACTACACACAGCAATTTCAAAAGCCTGTAAATTCTGGTCAGTTTGCAGTTTTCAAAATGACAAAATTTTACATACTGTACAATCATACCAAAAAAGTGTCAAAACCCAAAACACTTCAAACGGATTTTTTCCTTTTCTGGGTATATGATTGACAGCAAATTAAATTAAAACAAAAGGCACTGTGAAATGAATCCTGGACGGCAAGCAAATTGTCTTCTTCCTTTTTAAAATCATATCTTCTTTTAAGTGCAGAACTATTTGTATTTGAACAAACAAACCACAAAAAACCCCACAAAATATCAGATTGTGTGGAACAAAATGAAATCAAAATGCTTACCAGTCTCCTTCTTTCTTCTTCTACTGTATTTAAAAGCTGAGAAAATTCTTTGAAAGACTGAGCTGGAAGATAAAAATAGTAGGCTTTAATTAGGAGGTTTGCACTCACATAAGATCAGAGTGATATCTAGAGTAGTTAGTGTTCAGTGGGGCATGTTTTCTCAGTTCGTAACATCACAGTTTTCTTAATACAGTTTTCTTTGTATTACTTCATTAAAGGTCGTGCTGAGATAAAACAGATTGCTTGAATATTTATTTATAGAGATGGGAAGCATTGAGATTCAGTGGGAATGTATGAAAACTTTTAGCCAAAAGTCTATGAGAGGATGTCACCATCACGAGTGATAAAAAGGAAACCATCTTTAGGCACATTGGATTTGTTGATAGCAAGCAATGTGTTTATATACAATATACTGTACCACAAAAATGAAAGGAGATAAAAGCAGATCAGCCATCCAACTAGCTGGGATCAATTTCCTGCATCAAAGCCTGGCAATGCAAACTAGAAGGACAAAAACGATCTTTAGCCCAAACAAACTACTTGCTTTTCTGCCTTGGTGGTCCAGCTACCATTAACTGAAATGGCCTATGAGTCAGGGATGGAATGAGGGGGCAAGATAAAAAAAATGTAGGGAAAATAAAATCATTTTGGAAAATAATATGATTTCTTCTCTTTGACAGAACGACAATGCGGACAATTGTTTCCTTAATGGTGAAATTTTAGACAAGAGTTTCCTAAACTGTTGCCCCTGAAGTGAACAGAAATGTGTTATATAGGCACACTCCTAAGTTATACAACAGACTTCCTAGCACACTGGACACATTATGAATTCCACCTACATTCATTGCTGCATTAAAAAAAAAAGAAATATGTCCGTATTGCTTTGAAAAGGTACCCGAGTCCATTTTCCATTAATAAACAAAATGATTTTTTTTTCTCCTTACATTTGTTATCACTAGTTTCTTCTATTCGATCACATTCGGAGTAACCCCACAATATCAGATATACTACTGTATAGTATTTAAAATGTTTAAGTTTCGTATACTGCAGTGGATAGGATTGTTATCTGATGCTGAATAAAATATAAAGCTTTGCTTGCTGTTTGAAAATGAAAACCTTTTCTATTGCTGAACAAAAAAAGGTAATCTCTTGTTCCTTGCTTTGGTAGCTTGTTCTTAAACATCAAGGCTAAACACCCTGATGACTTCTACTTTTTTTTAGTTTCAGAAGCAGAAGTCAGCATTTTCAATTTGGCCATTTGTTGAGCAGTACTGCTTATTTCTGTTCACGCAGTCAGACACCTAGAAAGTCAGAGTACTTTAAGTTAAAAGTTGCAATTGCTGATTTGAAATTATAAACATTAAACAAATGACCTATTGTTATAACAGCATTTTGTTTGTGCTAATGCTGTTTTTGTATTACCAGGAAGACGCCATTACTGGTATCCCTTTCCTGCTGCCAACTAGCTAAAACTTTCCTGCTCTGTGACATTGTAAGATGTGTCTGTACTATGCGCCTCCTATGAGGAATGATCTCTGGCTTTGATGCCTCACTGTTTTGTTAAATGAGAGATCAGATAGGAACCCTCAAATGGCCAGCCTTTCAGTCCTTATGCAAAGCAGCCACTTATCAGACATACTCACAGGTCTTAATGCCAACTCAACAACATCATTACAGGCAATTAGCCAGGCTGGCACCAGTGCCCACACAACATTTGAAAAACAACTTTTCGTTATTTGTACTATGAAGTTGGAAGGAATGAGCAATGAATATGCAGGAGTGAACCTACAAGTCACTTGGCCTAAAACCAATTTGAGATCTCCCTTTTAAATTACAGAAAGGTCATGTGGAGGGGAAGGGCCAGAGATGGAATGGTTGCTGTGCCAAGATTAGACACTAAAGACAGGAAATGGTAGTCCAGCTGGATTACTGTACACATATAATTTACAGGCTAATGGGAAAAGTGAAGTGCAGTCCCTTGATGTGATTTGCACTCTCAGAACTTTAAAAGCTCACAAACTATGATATCGTTACCTATTGGGGTTTACAAAAAATAATGAAATGACCAAAATAGACCGAGCAGGATAATCAACATGTAAAATAATCACAACCCATCAGACTGTAAAGATTATGCCAAGAATATACCCAAGCAGTTGGTATGATTAGAACCACTCAGATGTTTGGTCTCTAGGTCTCTGTTTTTGGTGAAAACAGTAATAGGTCAGGCACACTGGGTTAAACAAATATTTATTAATAATGACAATAATACACAATAAACAACAACACAAAATATACAACATACCAGTTCCTCTACTTATAAACAAGACATCTCAGATGCCTAAGCCCTGGCCAACCAGAAATCCCAAGACTGCTACCAATTATTCAACAATCCAATATAACACCTACACAGGCCAACAAGAGAGTTAAACCTGTCTTCTAAAATAAACAGAATATGACCTACAGTTAAATATCTCCCTCTATAAATATGGATGCTACAAAGTGAATGGGAAACCTATCTCCATATTCTAAAAGTGCATTCACTAACCAGGAGATGCCATTTTTGACCTAGGGAATAAGAATTTCCTAAAAGCAATAGTAGGGCACGCTCTCTTAACAAGGTCCAAATACTTAACTCGAACCTGGTCTTAAAAATGGATTGGAACAAAGACCGCTCATCTGCCGCAGGCTTTCTGCTCTCTCCTTGTGTCTTTCTATCTCTTCCAGTGTCCTTCCCTCTCTCTAAGTCTACCTGAATCATTTACCCGGAACTTAATTAACCAAGGCAAACTAGATGATTCATTTTAACAATGTGTCTCAAACCCTCTCCAGCTCAGCAAATCCTTCTCTTCCCTTTGTTGTTAGAAGCTTCCCAGAACTGCAAATGTTGACTCCAGCCAGGTGTTTGACCATTGTCTCTAAATGCTGAGACACCTCAACAGCCCCTTTCCAAATGGTGTAACAATATATTGTATCAGAAAACGTTTGATGATGCTGCATCTACAGTACTGCCAATCTCTGTCATATTGGTTTAAGGCAAAGGATAGTCAGAGGCCATTTAGTTTTTTAAAATCTGTGTGAATCCAGGAGGTTTTTCTCTCTTATTCCATATAAATGTTATTTACAGGCTATGTCCAGGGGATACAATCTATCTATAATGGAAAAGCTGAGAGCTACTGTAGGCTTTTCATTGGCCAGACAAAATGAGTACTATAGCAGATGTTTATGTGAGCTCTTCCACATGGACAGCACAGTATAAAAAAACACTAAGAAATTTACATCTCTAAAAACAACTACCACACTGGAAAACAAAGGACTCTTCTGAACACAAGAAATAAACTTTGTTGTTTTCTTTTTATGATTAATGTTTTCTATTCCCATATCAATCTTGTTTACAGATTGATTCCTAGACAGGTGGCGTACTTTCTGAATGTCACTGAACGAAGTCCCAGGAAAATCAATAAAAGGTCAGGTGAACTTTTCTAGAAACACAGTTATGATAGTTGTGTTCTCATTGTACATCTGTAGCATCAAAGTAGATTGTTTCAATCGTACATCAAGGTCTTCTCAGGGTACAAGAAGAGTACAACCAGCTCACTGGTTTTTTATTGAGGAGCAGACTGGTCTTTGTAGACAATAACTGTTTTTTTTTTTAAAGTAATACTAACTTTTTAAATATTGTGCAGTAAGAGTTCTGCTCTGATTTAAAATAGTTATCTATGTTGACTTAAGATGTCAACAACCTTTGGGGTAGATAATTGTGAATAAAGGTCTAAGGATATTTTGGTTAAAAACTGTGAACTGTTCACTCATATATGTTCAATTTGTTGAGCAATGTATTTTGTATCACAATACTGAAATGTAACCAGAAAGTTATAGTATATGGAGCAAAGAGCCTTTATGAAAGTAAGAGATTTGTTTTTGCCTGTGACTTCCTCAACGGCTTTCTTTGAACTCACAACATGACTGTGCTTTTGTCATTGTCAATGCTTGACAAATCCATGCGTCCATCCATATTGTAACTGATTTATCGAACACAGGGTTGTGGGTTTACTGAAGCCGATCCAGGCAAGAGATAGGTGCAAGGAGGTACAATGAATAGGAAGCCAGTCCGTCGCAGGGCACAACACAGATACAAACACACACACCAGGGCCAATTTTCCCAGAAGCCAATTAACCCACCTGTATGTCTCAGGTGTGTGGGAGGAAACCGAAACACCCAGAGGAAACCCACGCAAACATGGAGAGAACAAACAAACTCCGCGCAGACAGCACCCCAGGAATTGAACCCAGGGCCCCAGCACTGTGAACCAGCAATTCTTATCACTATGCAGTTCTACTACCAAACTGTGTGAATTCAGAAATGAATCTCAGAACATCAAAGATAAATCGTAAAACCTCTATTTTATCCACTGGAGTGATTTTAAACATGTATTTTTGATCTCTAGATAACAGGGCCTTTGACATTTAAGCTCTCTTGCCAGAAAATTAATTTTCATCATTCTTGACAAGATGATTAGATCCCTTGCCGTGCATCGACAACACATGCTTAATTGTAAGAAGATATTTTCGAGATTTTCCACGCATTGACCACGTTAATGAACTTGAAGTTTAGTACCAGATGGCAAGCTGCGGTTTCCCTGCATATCCTGTCCCAACATGGCTGGTACTGAAAATTATCTAACCAAATTCATCTGATGGCAGGTGGGCAGAAAAATGCAACAACTGTTAGGACTCAGATTAACAGCATTCTTGATTAAAGGCCAGAACAGAGATGGAACATTTCAAATTAAAATCTGTTTAATCATGATGTGGTACATTTCTATTTTTCATGCGCATAATTGCCCCTGCTTAACCCAAAATGTCACTCACCATCAGATTCACTCCTAAAAAAAAAAACTCACAATACTTGGTCACTTAATGAAAACGGAGAATTTGTGCCAGCCCATAAAAAGACAACCATTCTGTGTAATTTTGGTGAGAAATCTTTGGATCCAGATGGTTTGTGACTCAGTTCACAGCTGTGTTGAGACTAGAGGTAGGAATGAGGATTATGAAAAGTGAAAGATTGGAAATTTATTAGAGTAGTTTCCGGAAAGGTCATTGATAAGACATCTTTTCACTCTGTTCACAGCTGCTTTATGATTCTTCAATAACTGGTGATCATTACTGTACCCAAAGAACTCTCCCAAAGTACACTTGGAGTGCTTTCATAGGTTATCACAGGAAATCCAAAAGATTAACATGCAGGCAAACAGACTCATGAAGTAGCATTCAGAAATTAACTATAAGAGATGCATCCTGACAGCTAAAGGAGAGACATTTTGTCAGACTGTGTTCTTTTCTTAGAATTCAATAACAAAAACATTCTTTTTGTAAGTGTATATTTAATCCCCACCCAGTGGCAGGTGTGAGCAGGACAAATTGAGCTGAGGGCTTTTGTAGCATTCATCTGTTATAAGTCTGGGCAAGACAACTTTAAGAGGCCCAGTTACTAACTGAAGAACACTTGCGAGGAAATAAGTATGAGGTGTTTAGCTGCAGTACAGTACATTGACCAAATTAGCAGAAAATTAGGTTTCCCTTTAAAAGAGCTAGTTCTGCAGCAATAACATAAGAAAGGTTACAAAAGAGAGGAGGCCATTAAGTCTGATTGGTTGCTGTGATCTGAAGATTTAATCTAGCTACATCCTTAGAGAAGTTAGTTTTAGACTTAAAAATTTTAGTTAACACTAAATTCAGACACCTAGTCTTGAATGTCAGTTTTATATGCACTTCACAACATTTTCCACTCGCATCGTCCGGATTGGTGTTTCATTATTGCTTCGGAATAATCCAATTGTTTGCCAATGTCTTGACGGATTTTCAATATTTGTACCAAGTCGCCTTGTAATTTTCTCTGTTCAAGACAAAAGGTTCAGTTCTTTCAGCTTGTCTGTGTTGGACCACCAGTGAACATGCAGCTAAAAATAATTATAATGTGTTGGATCGAAAACACTTACCAATATTAATCTCGTCATCTGTTTCAGCATCGCCTATACATTCAAACTGGAAATCTTGAAGTGACTGAGAAAACTTCTGTACAGCTACAGAGAGATCTGCAAAACAGGAAAAAAAAAACAGCCAAACATTTTTAGCATAATGAAAATGTTATTTGTTGTATAAAATCTCAGTTGGACCCAATGTGACCCACATAGGGTGGGAGTGTTAAACTGGTGAGTTACAGATGTAGCTTGTTAGTGAATAAAATAACTTCTTTTAAATGAAGGATTCTGAGTGATTGTGGTGTTTAACATGACACACTTGATGATAAAAGAGTTAATGAGAAACTTAAGGTGTAAAATTAAAAATAAATGTTTGTTCCCAGTGAAATCATGTGTATACTGTATGTACTTCATTTTAAATATAAAATGGCTTAGCTATATGAGATGAAGTTTGAAGCTTAACCCTTGACATTGTTTATTGACACATTGGTATTTATCATACTTCATAAAACCTGTATTTAAAAAAAAACAACTATAATAACAATTAGCACACGTGTATCATTAAAAGAGCACTTAACTGAACAACAGGATTTATACTACTTAATTTGAGAAAATATTTTACACTTAATGCATAGTGTGCAAATCATTAAATAAAAAGTAAATTTAAAAAAACATATCCAAAATGTAGATTCTTTCAATGTTATTTTAACAATTCTGCAGCTATGGAGAATTTCTTTTTTATTCTGGAATCAAAAATTGTTTTACACCTGTTTTACACAGGTGAGAAAGACATTCACCTTTTGCCATGATGCGTATGTGTACGCTCCACAGCGTCTTGACAGAAGAGTCAAGACAAACCGGGGGAGCACTGCATCCATCAGTGCAGGCCAGCAGGCACCCAGCAGGTGAAAGAAGTTGCTGTTACTGCCACAGACATTACCGTGACCAGCTGACACCCATCCAGTTCCAACGACAGTCTGCTAATCATGTGCTACTGCCTAAGAAATCAATATCACAGTTGGCTAGTGGCATGACCTAAGATCTGAGCGATAGACTTCAGTCCTAAGTAAGTTCATCTACTGTGTGACCCACATGGGAAACGCCACAAAGGGTTTTCACCCATAAAACAAATAAAGAGGCTGCTCCCAAGAGGAGCTGATAAATCACTGTGAGCCGGGCCTTGAAGTGTGCTTAAACAATTTCTTACATGGTAAGTACTGTCTAGACCTGACCTGAGAGACTTGTAGAAGAGTCAGGAACAGTGGAAAAGTTCAGAATACAACTCAAAGGTCTCTCCAAGATTTTAGAAGAGCACGACTTACAGTAGGAAATATTGTAAAATGTGACAAAACACAAAACACAAAAAGGTATTTTTACTTCAAACTAAGAAATGACAAACATCAAACAGTATATCATACAGATATACTGGATGATATAGAGTATATACAGTATAGTACTATAATTTAGGTTCATACAGCAATCCATGTTTTTCATAATAACCCATATTTATACATAATTGATCCTCGGAAATAAGATTATAAATTACTGTTTTCACTTAAGTGCCATGGGTCACTGCCATACTACACACAGACAAAATACAATTATAATAAAAGTCAAGCTGTATTTGGTGCTAAGCCACCCATGAAGCCATGTACGCCAGACATTTTAGATTGTAATGACCTTATAAATTTGATTTGTTCTATTCTGTACATGTACTGAAATTTAAAACCATTCTTATTTTCAAACACTGAAGCTGAAAGGTGTTCAACACTGGATAAAAATGAAAGCATTTTTAAAAGGGGAACTGCAATGCTGTTTTTATATTTCGGGCTTAGAAAGAATCGGCACTGACGATCAAACCACAATGAAAGTAAAATGTACACAATAATATGAAATTACATAACAAAATAGACAAAATTTCCAGGTCTGCGCAGTGGCATATTCTGCGATTCAGAACGAGGCAACTAAACTTCTGGTGAGGTGAAGCGGCCCTATTACATTGTAAGCAAGCAGGTTTGTGAATACATCTCTTTAATCCAGTAGAAATACTGCTCATGACTTCCAGATGGTTTTGCCGACAAATACAACTTACTTGTTAACTCTGCATGCAGATCATGTTGGAACATTTCTGCGGTGAAATGTCTGCTGCACAACCTACTTATGTCTACTTATTCGCTCCTACTTCACATTACATTAATCATTACAGTAACTAGTGAGCAGGAAGGGCCACTTCTTGTTGCAATTTGCACGAACCCTCAATGTCACCCGCGGCGAGACCAGGGTTATGCTATAAGATGGCGACTATACAGTACTTTCAAAAAAGTTCACGATTTTGTGCTTAGTTTGGAATTGGTAAAATTTTGTGATACCACCAATTAATTTATTTTGTTACTTCGGTTTAATAACCGGTCTGAGATATTGGGACTGCAGTTTCCCTTTAATTCTTGATATTAAAGGGATTTGTCTTGATATAGCTAGAAGCAGGCTTAAAAAAAAGAGACATTTTAGATCATTGTTTTTTTTTCCTTCGATGTTTTGTACTTCTTGGCTATTGCAGCAATACCAAAATTGTGGCAGCACAGGGTTCATATACTGCTACAGCACATGCTGCTTATTTATAGAAAATACAGTTTTTTTCAGTGTCATAAGAAACATTCTGCACTGGAAAGCAGTTTTGTACAGGAATAAGTTCAGACTGACAGCTCTATCTATTCTTGAGCTAGAATAATGATCCACTACTCTGGATTAGAACACAATCTGAACTCATCCTTTTGACTTCTGCCTTCATTATCAGAGATATTTAGGTGATGTGAAAACTGCTACACTTAACATTACCCAAAAATGTATAGTAAGAAAAAAAGCCATTCATGATAAATCGTTCAAGAAACTGCAGTCTCTTATGTAAAAAAGCACATTCATTATTATGAGTTGTATGATGAAGGGGTGGACTCATTGCTAATGGTAGTGGAAGCAGAATATTGATGACTGCAAGCTCCTTGTCATGATCTGACATGGAGGCAGGTGGTACAACAGGGCTGTCAAGTACTTGAGCTGAGATGCAGTAGAAGTGTATTTCATTTGCTCTTACTGCAAAAGAGCACCCTTTCTAGGATCCAATCCGCTCACCTGTTTTGAGAAAGGGGCTAGAAAAGATACCCTAAAAATAGTCTGTCTCATCACTCTTAACAGGATTGCAGCACCCGGAGGTGCAATATGTAGTTGAAATACACAGTGGAGAGTTTTCTCCAGAGACAACATCTGCTCAGCCTGCCAGAGAGCATACTGTTCCTACTGTATATTGGTCACCTCCGGATTCATGGAAGAATCAATAAAACTGTAGCTTTCCTTTATTATTACTTCTTAGAGAAAGAACTAAAACAGAAGTGTTTCAAATCTGGAATAAAAGGAAAGTCCTGAGTGAAAGTTTCGTCTCTTTGCTGAAGTTTTCACTTCTCTATCGCCTTAAAAGAAAACGCACTGACCTTTACTTTGTAACATTTTCTTCTAAAATTATTGAAATGCCCAAATAACTAGATTTTAAATATTAGCAGATTGTCCTAGTTAAATATTAGCAGATTGTCCTAGTTAATATAATCAGTTTCTGCAAAGAGCTGTACAGAGAGATTTAGGCTAGACAGTAGGAAGTACATACAGTATGACTCTGGGAAAATAATTTAGCTTTCTATAGCCTAAGGAGCAAACTTATATAGTTTTTTCTAATCTTTAATAATATCTTGGTCTTAGAAAGGGCAGATTTAAAAATATCTTAGCATACAGTGCTCTGGGAATATATCCATTTGTATGAATGTTTAGTTTAATGCTAACCATTTATCAAACATAATACTATTTAAGAGTAAAGTGCCAGAGAATGAAGAAAACAGGAGGCTAAATGCATTATAAAGCGTCATTTTAGCACAACACTCTGTAGTGCTCTTACAGGAAAAGAATAATATACCACAACTTTGTTTTTTACTAAAGATAATGATGTTTTATTCTTGCTTTAGTTATAAAATACATCATTGGAAAATTACTTCTCATTAAGACTTATTTAAATCTACACAGTGAACTTACTGTATAGAAGGAAAAGAGAGTCAGCAAGTAATGTTCGTTTTTTAATTTAAAGATAAGATCAGAATTTCTGTGAAAGCATAAAAAAGAATATTCTGATTTCTGATTTTAAGTTGTATTACTGTATTTAATTTCACCTGGATTGTTTTTAAAATAATTAATTTGATTTTCATCTTCTATCACATCAAGGGCTAATTAAATGAAGAATTGTAGCTGAATGCTGTTCATCAAACCTTTAAAATTATAGATTGGAAAAAGATACACACTTTACTTTGGATATCCACAGGTCTAACTACAAAAACATTTTCATCCAGTTTGCCTGCTTTAGTATCACTGGATTAAAACGTTTTTCTATTATCATTTGCCCTCCCTACTTGTGCTAAAAATGTAGAACAATGCTGATTGCCGGCAGCAGACATATCAGAAAAGAGCAACTTCTATCTCTCAAAGGTTGCGATTGCTTTTTTGACCAATATAAGGATATTGTAAGAGATGAATAGTTGTTATTGTGATGATTAACTCATTTTTTAATTTGATTTCCATTCATTTGAATCTTTGTAACAACCATTTTTAGGTAGGAGCTCTTTCCTTTGAAACAGAACCAGTTTCAAAATCCTCAGTGTTTGTGACATTTCTTGACTTAAAAAACATCTGTGTTCAAAGAATATACAGTAGATATAGAAATCTAGAAATACATCTGTTTCATAGATATTTTTCAAAAGTTCCACAACACAGTCATATTTTCACTTGTCTGTATCAGATAAATTGAAAAAAGTGTTCTGTTTTTCTTTATATCAGTATCCCACGCAACACAGTATTTGATGTAAGACTAAAAATGATTTTTAAAGGTATTTTAGAATTTTATTAAAGTACAGCAAAAACACAGTAAAGTGTTGACAAGGACTTAGTTGCAGCTGCATTGTTGGCATATGTAATTATTGAAAGAAAATACATATTTTATTTTGTAGTCTATGGTTGTTCTGGCTAATTAAAAAGAAAGTAGCAGACATTTTAAATAGGATGATGTTTTTGAAGATGAAGATTTC